ATAATCTAGGGAGAGGGTTTGGATGCTAGACAAGCTATACCTGAGTGGGCAAGGGTGGTTGTAGTATGCTGTGAAGTAGCCTGGAGGAACCTCTCATAATCATCACGCAGTACACTCACCATTTCCTTCCTGGAAACAGATGTAGATGTAGAAGGTGTTAGATCTACCTGTTGGTTATCACTGACATCAACCCCACCAGCTACTGCATGATTGGCCCATGTAGGAGGGCCATGGAAATCATAACAGAAATTCACCAAATGTCTGTCCCTGCCACAATGGGTACACTTCCTTGTAGAGTTACTTTTTCCTTTACCACGGCCTCCCCCTAAGTCACGACCACCACCACGGCCANGTCCCTGCCACAATGGGTACACTTCCTTGTAGAGTTACTTTTTCCTTTACCACGGCCTCCCCCTAAGTCACGACCACCACCACGGCCAAATACGGAACCACCACGACCTCCTCGGGAGGCATGTCCTCCCCCTCTAGTACCACATCCACCTCCTCTAGCTATCACAAATGCTGATATGTCAGACTGTGTGGGATTCTCTGTAGGTACCAAAGAAATCCTACAAAGCCGTGCAAAAACTTCCTCAAGTGTAGGAAGAGTAGAGCCTCCCAATATTTGGGCCCTAACTGGTTCATATTCCGATTTCAACCCCACTAAGAACCTAGTGGCATCTAGTTGTTCCCTCTGTTGTTGCTGAACCTTAACATCTGGAGTGAGGGGATGATAGACATTGAGTTCATTTATGAGGTTCTTCATACTGGCATAGTACTCTTCTAGGGTTTTATTCCCTTGCTGCAGATCAAAATACTCCTGATAAAGCTGATATACCCTTGTAGTATTATCCTGCCCAGAATAAAGCTTCTTGGCATGTTCCCATATGTCCTTAATTGTATCTAAGAACATAAAGTTGGCACTTATTTTGGGTTCCATACTATTCCATAACCATGTCATGATTTGGACATCTTCCTGTTCCCAGTCATCAAACCCTGAAGAGTCAGCTGGTGGTTTATCTTCCTTCACATGCTTCACTTTCCTCTTTGCCTTGAGAAAAACTTCCACTGACTTGGCCCATGGTATATAGTTCTCAGCATTAAGTTTAATTGAAGTCATCTACACATCCAAATAGTCAGAGGGAATCACCACACTAGGTTTCTGATCACTACAAYCATCTCCAATTGCTGCCATGATGCTCTTCCAATGCTACCTCTAATCTGAATTCCCAGTCGCCAACTAAGTACTGCTGTCAGGAGTTTGATGTTCCAGACACTACAGTAGTCCCCAAACACAGATGATAGGCTCACAACCAGTCACAATCAATCACCACTGTTCACAACCAGTCACAAACAATCAGTCCCAAACACACAGATGTCCCAGACACTACAGCCGTCCCCAAACACAGTTGATAGGTACACAAACTTTTGTTCTTGTTCACACCACTACTGATTTCACAAAACCATGAATCACACTGACATTAATTCAGCAACTCACTGACCACATACAAGCCCTCTTGAAGCTACTCAATAGAGATTGAGCATCACAAGCACCACCACACAACCATAGCTGTCACACATGGTACAGATCTGTCTGACCTTTTTAGAGGGCACTATAAGTCCAAAGAAAACATCAACTACTGCCACTGCAGTAACCTATCTCATTCAATTCAGGTCACTTGTGACCAACAAAGGCTTCAAAACAACTACAGACCCACATAAAAGGGTCAAACATACCCTTACACCATTCGGCCACTGTAAACACAGCCTGTTCATGGACCTTTTTCTAAGAACCAAGGCTACAAACAACCTAGTTCTCTAGGTTCTGATCAGTCAAGCAGATTTTGAAGGCTTTCAACCCAGAAATACCAACAGTACAAAAAAAAAGGTAACCAACCTCCGATGGAGAGCTTCAGTCGACCTTTCACTTCTGAAGTTGTTTTTTTTCTTGAAAAACAGTCAAGTTCTGCGCAGAGGAAGGACTGAAGTGTTCTCAGGCCTAGGTTGAATCTATGTTCTCCATTTTCAGCCCAGAAAGAAGAAAGAAAAAAATGAGGTCACGAACAGAGAGGAGCAGGGGAGGAGATTTAGAGAGCAACGTCCTGCTCTGATACCATGTTTGTCCTGTAGCTACAGCAGTTCGAACCAGAAGAAGAAGAAGAAGAAGAAGAAGAAGAAGAAAAAGAGAACAGTCGAACATGATAGCCTAAACCCTATCAGTCGACCCTAATATGGATTAGCCTCTAATTAGTAGTACAAAGACTAAACTTCCCCCACTTAAGTGTGGGACAGGAAGTCTCTATTAAAACTGCCACATAAGCACATAACTTAACAGAAATAAAATGACTAATCTACCCTTATTCGGCTAACTCTAACAGGCACAATTGTAAGAAATTAGAGGAGAGATAAGAGGTTTTATCTCTCCCCATGTCTTGTATATCTTTTTATCATTAATAAAATTCATTGTTATTTGATAAAATAAAAAAAAAAGTTCAGTTAGCCAATCAGGGACACTTAATGCCAAAATTCCACTACAAAAAAGAAAAGAGACACTAAGGTTTAACAAATAGTTGTCCGCGCATTAATAAAATCCACGGTTATTTGATAAAAAAGTTCAATAAGCCAATCAAGGGCACTTCATGCCAAAGTTCCACTACAAAAAAGAAAAGAGATGCTAAGGTTTGACAGATAGTTGTCCACATGTGTATTGACCATATTAAAACAACAATTCATTGCAAACTCTAATGAATTTGATTGTAATACTGGAACTGACCTGATAATTAGCTAGATTTGCTGAAATTTGATTGAAAAACTGTGCATTTTGCTCAAGGAGCTGCCCTGTTGTGCCACCAATATCTGCAAACAACAAATATAATCTATCAATAAAATTGCAACTCTAATGATGACATATGGTTCTAGTATTATAGACTTAAGTCAATCCATGCACATCATTGTCATGCATAAGGCATGCCTTTCATGTCCCCAAAGCCAAGAATTGACCTTTATTATCCATTCAATACTTTTATTCAAGATACTTTCTATCCTCAAAAACATACCAAACAATATAATACAATCGGTGGCTACATTTAAGAACTCATATACCAGAGTGTCATGTGAATCCTGTCTAAAGCTGACATCAGCAGATTGTAGCATGTCCTATCTGTATTCATATAGAATTCAAACATCCAACAAGTTAAACACTTGATATGGATGTTAAAATATGTTTCAACCCAATCAAGTTAGACAGTTCTACCTTTATTTTTTGTGATCATCCAAATCTTCAAGAGAAGAAAGAATTGAAAGCTTAAAATCTGCAAGTTTCTGAATTTTTCTATGCTATAAAATTGGAATCAAATAGCCACATATGGAAGTTTGTGGGTTTTTAAACTTATGTGTTTTTGTGTTTTTAGAAAGTTGGGATACTTTGGCCACTCTACAGGTTTCATGGGGTCCAATGGTTTGATTTGTATATCCATAGTTTGTGTTAAAATTGCTAGTCATTCATTAAGAGTTATTGATTTTTTTTTAATCAAAGTAAGACAATGACATTATTATAAAATATGTTTTTCTTGGTTCTAGTAAGAGCAACTGTGACATGGTGAAAGATATTGGAGTGAATTTTTCTGCACATTCTGCTTATGGTGAGTGGTCCCAATAAATTCAGTAATTCTAGGTTCCCACCGAGTGATTCCAGAAATTTTCTCTCCACTTTCTCTCTTCTCTCCAATCTAAAAGTAGCTATTACAGCCATCAACAGCCCAAGAATTTTTCATCAAAGGAGTCAACATCAATAAAGGAACAAAAGTCCACTTTCCTTTTTTTATATCAAAAAACAAAATTTTCTTATTTCAACCATTTGTCCTTTTGCGCCAAGCCATCTCTGATTTCTTTCAACTTATCGCTTAAAGGCATGCCATATTTCATCCCAAAACTCTATTTAAAATCCTATTTTCCAGAACTCTGATAGCTTCTCTCACAAAGGGAATTTTTTACCTTATGAAAAAAAACGCTACTTAGAAGGCCTTCATATTAAATCACTCCATCATTAAAACATATTTACAAAGTCTGATTAAAAAATCCCATCTCTATAATTGATTTTCAAATTTTCTACATTTTCACTGTCCCATTAAGAACCTGCCCAATTTATGGTTGCCCTCCTAGACTCAATCTTGGGTCATACTAGTTATACACCAATTGGTATCAAAGAAGTTGGTTCTACATCAGTTGGCATCAGAGAGCTCTCAGCAGGAGTGATCAGATGATCATTCATACATACATACATATTATATAACACAAATAATATATTGTATATAATATTTTATATTTAATAAATTCTAACAAATATTTTATACATATATGATATGTTATATGATATAAAAATATTATAAATATTAAATATAATGTATTTAATATCATAGACCCAAAGCTCAGCCCATGATCACCTATAAGCAGGTTATAGTCCCCTCAACAAATTGCAGTTCTGCCCAATACAAATGCATCATTAGCTTTTGCATTATTAGTAATAATCTAGTTGTCTCAACTTCTCAAGGAGGAAGAAGGGCTGGAGTTTAATAGGTGTTCAATGGAGAGCCCAGGTCTACTGAGGACGCATGGTGTATTTTGAAATGTGATCAAAGCTTCTTTGCATCCTTTTCCTGGTCCAATCTTGCAATTCAATCAGAACAGGGATCATAGGCTGTTCTATGCCGGGGAATATGATTGTTTAACACCTTAATTTTAATTCAAGCACAAGAAATAATAGAGAACCTCATAGTGTTCGAATCTATTGATATCAAACTGCCATGTACAAATTGACCTAAGGCTTAGACAAGGAAATGATCTATGGTCTCCAATCGTCACATTTCCATTGAGTAGTGAAAGGGACCTACCTTCAATCTAATGTAATGTATTGTCAATTGAAACTCCAAAGCATGGAGTGAATACCAAGGCCAAGCTTGATAGAATAATAGATAAGTCAAGCTCAGCTTTAAAAATCAAAGGAAGCAGAAAAGAAAGAACAAAGCAAAGAACTAGTCAAGTTAGGAACAAAATCCAATTGTCAAAAAAAAAAAAAAAAGTTGGCAACAAAATTTTTCATATTCACTTACAAAGGCCAACAGAGAAAGCCACTATGGTAATAACATATTCACTTTCAAAGGTCACTTTTTATGCATAGGCATCAGATTCCTTTTCCCTCTTTATTTGGGTAAGCAAGATAATACATACGGTGTTCATTGTTTAGTTCAAACCGCAAAACCAAACTGAAGCAAACCAAACTGTTTGGTTCAATCTGCACCTGAAAAAGGGTTTGGTTCGGTTTCATATTTTGCAAAATTGCAGTTTGTGGTTTTGGTTTGGTTACTTGGACTTTATAAACCGAACCAAACAGTAAACCATAAACCAAAATTATATATATAGTCATATACAATATAATTATATAAATAAATGATGTACAAATATTATATATATAATATAATATAGTATATTTAAACCAAATTTATATAATTATAAATATATAATAAACTCTTATTGTTTCAGATCTGTTTTCTATTTTTCTTGATTAGTTGGTATCAGAGAGAGGTTACCTCTTTTTCTTTTCTTTGATCCCATACACAGTGTGTATGGAGAACTAAGTTGGAGATTTTGAGATCAGTTTCAATCAGTTTCTGATGCCCAAGAATTGTCTTGGAGAGCTGGCCCAAAAACCTAGCCAACTAGAGAAGAATTGCAGTTTAGGGTCAAGAGGATCTTTCCAGAGTGGAGCTCAAGGTGTGAACGACTTCTTGGAGACCCTTATTGAGATCAATCCACGTTGGAGAATTTTTAGCCATCACTGGTAAGAGTGGCTGAATTTTTTCAGTTTCTCTCGGGTTGTCAGGTACTGTGAAATTCTACTTCTCTTGTTTTTTCCCTTCCTGTGTGTTGGGAATTGAAGAAAGGGAACTTAGAAAAGAAAGGTACAAACAGGAATACAGAACAAAGGGGACTAGAACACAAAAGTTGAAGTGGGGCCTTGAATTGAAGAATACATGTGGGCATATTGTTGATAAGAATACGTGTGGGCATCTTGTCAGAACATGCATATGCAACATAAAACCACGAGCCACTTCAAGGAGAAGTCAGTTCTTCCTCTCAGCAATACCATTCTATTGAGGAGTTCTTGGGCATGTACTTTGATAAATGGTACCATGCTGAGAAAAAAACTAATTCCAATTATCTCTAAAATACTCAGGAGCATTGTTTGAGTGAAATATTTGTACTTATAATGAAATTGAGTAAACAACATTCTTTGGAAATCCTGTATTACTTTAGGAACTTCATCCTGTGAGTGAAGCAAATAAATCAAGTAAATCCATGTATATCACGAGAAATCATCAATGAAACTAATAAAATATCTATGACCTCCTTTTGCAATAATAATAATAGGACTCCACACATCTAAGTGAACAATTTGAAAAGGAAATTCAGCAATTTGTTCTACAATGCTTACTCAAAGGACAAATTGCATACTGAAATGAAGACTGAAACACTGACTTAAATAATTTTGGGAACAAGAGTCTCAAAGACTGAAAAGACAAATGGCCCAAACAATAGTGCTAAAGCAAGATCTAGGCTTTATTACGAGGACTCTCAAACTAACCCACAAAACATGTTGTATTACTTGACTCGAAAGCAGTAACATCATCCAGTACATAGAGACCATCAACCACACATCCCTTACCAATCATTCTCCCAAAAGTCAAATCCTAGAGAACACAGGAATCAAAAAAAAAAAAAAAAAAAAGTTACACTACAATTCAATGACTTGGTAATACAACTAATAGATAAATGTTTAGTTGGAATTTTGGGAGCATGGTAAACTAAATGTAAGTGAACACCATTTTCTAAGGATACAAGTACCCTGGCCAACAATGGTAGTGTAAGAACCATCAGCTAGCCTAACTTGTCCTACCATAAAGTAAACAATATGCTGAAACTAAACTTAGCTTACCAATCATGTGTTTGGTTGCCCCATAATCAATGATCCAAGGGTTGGAAGATGAAATAGACACATGGAGTTCAGAAGCCCGGTTACCTGAAGTGGACACGTGAGGTAGGAGTGATAGAAGACTCTTCAAGATGTCAAAGAGTCCTACCATACTCTTCCAACTGATCACATTCGGTATACAGCATCTCCTCCTTGGAGATAGAGCCTGTGGAGATACTCTCCTGAGACAAGTCACCAGAAACTAGATTGGCTGAATTAGATTTCTTCCCATACTATTGTGGTTGCTTCTTCTAGACGGACTGAAAGTTCTTTGGCTTGCCCACAAGGTCCCAACATGTTTCTCTGGTATGTTCTACCACAACGAGAGCATTTCAACTTATCTTTACCAACAGCTTCAGCCCTCTTCATTAGCATCACTTACCTTCCTACTTCCACCACTCCCTTTAGCCAAGAAAGCAACCTGCTGCTCCCCATCAAGAGGATACATGGCTATCCTCCCACTCTCCTCAGATTGAACTAGGGAATACACTTCTTAAATTGATGGGAGCTTCTTACTCCCCAATATATGAACACGAATAGGCTCATAACTGGAATTAAGACCAACAAAAGAAAACAAACACCTGCTGCCGATTTACAAGTCTCTTATACTCCTTTGCAACTGATTCATTTTTCCAATCAATAGTCAGATAATAATCAAGTTCCTTTCGCATGGAATTGAGAGTGGAATAATATGATGATAGGCTTTCTCTCCCCCTATTTACAAGTGGATGACTCTACTTGAAGTTGATATATACAAGCATAGTGCCTTTGCTCAGAAAAAAAATAACCTTAGCTTGGTCCCAATTCTCCTTCGCCATAACAGCCCACA